AATAAACACATTTCATTACACCAAATACACAAAATAATGTTATTTTTAGCAACATCATATGACCCCTTTAATCTCTCAAAAAGGGAATCTGGAAATAAAGTTTACAGTAGTCTAATTTGCATTTGAAGAGTTTATTTGCAAAAAACAGATGTAAAAAAAATCATGTTTTTATTGTGTTAGTTAGCTGTATTCTTTAGTTATTTTTACTTAATCAAAATAGCTCAACTGCAGTTCGATCGAGATTAATTGGAATGCACAATTCTGAAAATTGTTAAAAACAGAGTTACCTGTTTTTGCAGATGAACTCTAGATGGAAATAAAACAGCAAAAAAAAAAAAAGAATAAATAAATAAAAACATTTTGACTGCTCATATTTATAAAAGACTTGACGAAAAAACTAAGCCTAAAGTGGCAACAACAGACCAAAATGAAGGTGAAAGCAGTAAAAGTGTTTTACAGTAACTGAGCATGTTGACAACATTTTTGCTTTTATAAAAATAGCTTCTATTATGAGTGTAAAGCTTATCGAAGTCCATTTCACTTGACATGTTTTTGTTTGCTGGATCTCTAAATGAAATAGTTCCAGCAGCAGTCTATAGTTTTTACTTGCTGTGTAGCCTGCGTTTAAGTGTTTTTGATGTGACTCACTTCATAAAACTTCAGGACAGAGACACACATGGCTGTGTCAGTGCGTGGAAAACTGATGGGAGAATATATAAGTGTATATATAAATAAATAAGTATAAGATGCAAAAGGTCTGACTATAACACAGTTATGTCCTGAAAAATATTTTTTTAGTACAGAAGAGGATGAGTGTTAATGTGCATTTTTTCAATTAGATTTTACATTGACATTTGTTTTATCCATCATTTTTAGGACTGATAATGTTTAAAATAATGAAAGAAATATATTGCTGCATTAACAGAAATAATATCAGTTTAATTATGAAGGCACTCTTGTCTGCTGTTGTTTAGGATCCATATCCTACGGTGGCCGAGAAGTGCAGAACAAATCACAATTCTGAAAACAAAATAACAAATTACAAACGCAAACTGCACTTCTCTGCCGCCGTAATATCCAGCACTTGATGAACAACAAAGTAACCAATGCCCTGTCAAAACACAACACTATTCATACAATATTTCATTTGAGTTTTTCCATGTTTAATAGTGATGAAATCATTTTAACCTATTTCTGAAGATATAACAAGTTATTCATACTGTTAGTGCTAATATACAATGATTCCTTCAGTAACCTGACACAGAAAAACACTTCTGGAAGGGGGCTGGAGAAAGTGGGTGGAGTTAATGTTATATAAAGCAGTCAAAGTGAAACTAAACACAGCACATTGTTCATTTTAAATTCTACATTAAGTCTGCAGATACAAAATGAGTTTCAACATTTGTATTAAAGATGAGAAAGGACAGCCAAGAACAGTAAGTGTGGATTCAGAGGAGGAACTGAAGAACATGACTGTTGAAGAGCTCAAAAGAAGAGCATTTCCTGAAGACCGATGTAAGTCAGACAAATGATACAAACAATAGGAAAAACTGCATACACGTTTACATTTAGATTGATCAGCTTTTATCAGTTGAAAGCTTCTGAACTACGAGAAGTTTGCAAACTATTTTACTACAGTGACCATATTTCAACCATGGTATTTGTAGAAAAGTTATGCTAATCACAGAAAACCCTCTTGATACATCTTCACCTGTTATAATGAGGTTGATGCATGAATGTTTGCTGTTTCTTACGCAGCTGCTGTTGTTGTATTTCACAGGGATCGCGTGGAGGTTTATCTTCAAGGGCAGACAACTGAAGGAAGGTCGTACACTTGGCTCTTATGGCGTACTAAACGAATCTACTATTCATGCAGTTCAACGTCTACGTGGTGGAGGTATGTAACAAGAGTGTTTAAAATGATTTAAAGTCTCAGATAATCGTATTAAAACTGACCCTTCATGCTGTCACACAAAACAGATGCTTGTTTTCTCTAGCAGTGCTTTTATATTCAGTAAATTCAACTAAAATTGTATGTTATATGTAAAATTATGTTGCATGATTAGTTTGATTAGCACAAACACATAGACAGCTCATGGAGTGTTTGCTCTTCAACATTTTAGTCTGATGTTAATTTATCTGTTTTTAAATGTTTCTTCTACTTGTTTCTAAGCATTCAACGTTCAAAGTAGCTTTCCCATAATGTTAGTAAAATGATAACATGGAACATTCCCTTAATGTTTTTGCAAACCGTCACATAAACAAGAAAAAACATTTATTTTTTTAAATGACTGGATGTTTTGAAAGTTATAAAAACATTAATGTTCTTAATGAGAATGATAGAAAAACAGTGCATATATTTGATAGCTGGGGTGTTTTTTAGGGCAACTTCTCAAAATCAGGCCGTGTTATCATATGTTTCGCTCTATATGTGAATGTTGGTCAAAACATTGCTTTGTTTACATTTTTACTGAGTTTTGTGTTTTATAATTGTTTAAATGTTGCTGACATTTTACCACATATAGTGTGGCAACATTATATGGGACATATGCTGTATATTTCTTCAGTGATATTTCTCTTTTTTCAAAACATTTATTTTTGTAAAACATTTTTGATTATTGATCCTTCATACAATTCATGTTAAAGGTACAGACGGACTACTTTAAGGCAAATATCATTCAGGTTCTGACATAGGGTGACCATGCGTGCCATTTTTCCCGGACGCGTCCTGGCCAGGATTTCTATATTGCCCAAAATATCTAGGTTTTGGCTTTGTTTGCGTGTGCAGACCGATCGGTGAGTGACATCAAAGTACCATACAGACGGTTCCTTATGCTTTACTTTGATGTCAAACACTGATCGGTCTGAGACGCGCCGCTTTAAGTCGAACACACCTAATATGTACGCGTATTTGCATCGCTTTGACTATAGATCCCACCTTCTCACACGCCACGATTGGTCCATTATGTACAATGCCTGCATGTTATTGGTCAAACTACTTTTCAATCATTACCTTCACTGTAAAAAATGATTGTGATTTTAACAGTAAAAGACTGTAAAAATGCTACAGTAAAAACTTTTAATTGGTTATCAGTAAGTTTCCATACTATATACGGTGAATAACTGTAAGTACATTTAATGTAATTTTACAGTAAATTACGGTTTTTGGAAGTTAAAAAGAAAAAGTCATTATATAATTTACAGTGGAAAAAACGTAAATTGACGCTCCCAGAATTCCCTGCATGACACTTCATATTTCGTTTTTTCATTGAAATAACTGTGTTTCTTCTTAGTTTTTTCTTATCAGTTGTGTACATTAGGGTTTTATCTTACATCTAATGTTGTTAAATTAATGTTTATTGCATTATTTCAGCATCATGTGTGTCACCGTGATGGGGTTTAGTGTTTGTGTGAATGACACACTGTGCACCTTCTATATATATATATATATATATGAATATTTCCCTTCTCAGCTTGTGGAAGAGCTGTTTGTGATGAGCTTTGGTTCATCACGTGACTTTCTCATCACCACCTGTTTTTGGTGGTTATCAGTGCATTACACCGTTTCAAAAATACTTCAAAAATACTTCAGTATGCTGGTTTATTAACATTACATCAGTTAATCAAATACGTTTTTTTTATTGTGAATTTAAGTTAAGTCTGTAAAACCTAAAATGGTACTATTATATATTTAACGGTGAAGTTCTGGCAACCACAGCTGCCGGTATTTTACCGTAAATGTCACAGATTTTTTTTACAGTGTTCAGCAAGTATGAAAACAGGAAAACGAAGCCAAAACAAATCCTGGCAAGGACGTGTCCGGGAAAAATGGCACGTTTGGTCACACTACTCTGACAGATCTTTTATTGTTGTTTCATATCATTTCTCACAGCTCCACCTGAAGATGAAGATGTAGAAAGCTCCAAGAGTGCATATAGGGAAGTATTAGCTTCAACGCAGCACACTGAGCCAGAACCCAATACATCATGTTTGATTTTGTAGTTCAGTGCATCCTCATATAAATCCAACACATTGTACAAATATGAAAAATATAAACAGTCACAATGAACTGCTCAGCTGTACCTGTAAACACCACGTGTAGCTAAAGACTCAGCAGTTGACTGAGTAACAACCCTTCAGTGATGACTGAAACCTTTATTATTAGCATTTCTCATGTTAAGGTGCCAAATATAAATTCTCTTGTGTCACAGAATATTTGGCTTTTACTTAAGAGGCTGAAATCAGAACATAACATGTGTGTTGTGTTTTCAGTAGAACTCATTATATTATCAATCAATAAAATGTATTACTGGGTTGCTAACTGGAACATTTCTGAGATTTTCATTATGTCATCTATCTATCTATCTATCTATCTATCTATCTATCTATCTATCTATCTATCTATCTATCTATCTATCTATCTATCTATCTATCTATCTATCTGTCTGTCTATCTGTCTATCTCTCTATCTGTCTGTCTGTCTGTCTGTGTCTCTGTATCTCTATCTCTCTATCTTCTATCTATCTATCTATCTATCTATCTATCTATCTATCTATCTATCTATCTATCTCTCTGTCTGTCTGTCTGTCTGTCTGTCTATCTGTCTCTGGCACACTTTGTGTTTTCCTGTGTCTCTGTAACTTAATATTGACTTAAGTACAAATATTGTACATCAGTAGAATTATTTGGCTAACATTTATAAAGTCACATATGCACTTTTATCAACTTTTTTATTAAGTTTTTTCCCCCTTTCCTTGTTCTGTGATGCCTATAGATTGTTTTAAAGATTTTTTTTCCATCAATTTTTCAGACTTCTGTTTGCTGAAAACATCAATAATCTCAAAACTGGAGAGAACACAGAGGACAGAAATATGTGCATCACTAAACAATATTGTGTAGTGCCAAGACTGTATTAATAAAATGCATGATATTATTTTAAAAACAGTTTGGTTTTTTTTCACTCTAAAACATTTTTCCCAAATGTAAATGTTGACTGATAACGTGACGTTCGGTCGGGAGGCGGAGCCACGTGGTCACGTGGCTGGCGTCTCCAGGAAGTTTTGGAAGCAGCTGATTAATATTCATGAGCACGCCTCCGCCACAGCAGCTAGTGAAGCGAGCAGCGCTATTGATCTCCATGGCTGCTCTTACAGCTGTACAATGCGGCGTTATCTTCGAGTCCTGTTCGTCTGCACGCTGTTCGTCTTCTGCTCGCTGCTCTACATCTTCAATCAGCTCGTGTCGTCTCTGGAGCGCGAGGACCACCAGCAGCGAGCGGACACAGGCCTGAGTGACCGCGCGCGGGATGACAGGTAAACAATAACACACACACACACACCTCACAACAACATCTGCACGACACACACCCGAGCTTATAAACACTGGACTCACGATGTGACCGCGGTCAACTAGCTTTAATGACTGGACAGGTGTTATAAATAACCGAAATCTTAACCAGTGCTGCGTTTCTGAGTAATTTAATGCAGAGGATACTCATATAAGGCTGTTGTGGTAAGTTAACAGTCGTTTAGGCTGGATTTCTGCTCGTTTAACTCTACTAATTTGATCACATTGCTAACATCAAATTAATATTCATAAGCTTGCTTGTAATAGTAGCCGTTCATTCGCCCGCTGAGTAGCGCCCGCCTATCGGTCCGCCTTTCAGCCAATCAGTGAGGCCTACTGGGGCGTGCGTCGTGTTACGTACTTAATATTCATGAGTCAGGTCATCTCGAGTCCATTTTGGTCAGATGACAGGTTTGTATTTAAAATTATTATTTTTTTTTTGACATTTTCAGTTTTTCTCTAAACTCTTCCCCAGACACCAGTTTGAAAACCCCTGTGTTACAATTTATTTGTATTTTTATATCTATTATATATTTATTTATCTGAATACAAAGGCTCTTTCTTCTTACACAGACCTGGATGTCAGGCCACAGATGTTTCAGGGCATCTCTGATTGAGACCCAGCTGGTGTGTGTGTGTGTGTGTGAGTGTGAGTGAGTGTGAGTGAGTGTGTGTGTGTGTGTGTGTGTGTGTGAGTGTGTGAGAGTGTGTGTGAGAGTGTGAGTGTGTGTGTGAGAGTGAGTGTGTGAGAGTGTGTGTGTGTGTGAGTGTGT